TCTTTTTTCAGTTCAATGCTCCTCAAGCTTCATTCATCTCCGGACCACAAGTCAGTAACGTCGCTGGATTCACACCTGGTGTTGCAGAACAGGCTAACTTCTCGAGATCTGTTATACCTAACGGACCTTTTGGTAATAGTAATGCTGGCGTTGCTACCTTCCCTGCTGATGTATTCGGAGGANCTGGAGCTGCAGGACTGTCGGCAGCTGGAGCTCAGTCAACCAGAGTTATCGTAATTCGTAACGTATGAGACTATATTATACATGACACCCAACCAATCTTTTAATTCAGCTCCCAACCGATTACACCTGGCAAATTGTCCGAGACCGTGTTCGTAACTTTGGAGAAGTTGATTCTGTTGATATGATGGCTCCGGGAGCTGNTNGTATTTCCGTTTCGTTTCTTACGGTTTCGTTTCTCTCGGATTTAAAATCTTTCCGATTTGTACGGTCTCAAAGTGAAAGCCTACTAATAAGCAAGTATTCAGGATGTCTTTTCTCTTATCCCCAAGTCTTCACGATACTAATTCTTCGCGATAGTTGTTGCATGCATCGCCAATGCGCATTTTCCTCTAGGAATAATGTGGGGCGTCTTGTACCGTTATCTAATTTCTCATAACATATTTTATCTGCGAGCCGTTGTATTAGTCCCACGTATCAGGTTTCAGAGAGAAAATGGAGACTGCAGGGCTAGTTCTCGAAAAAAGCGCGTGTTGCTTCACCTGTCTTTTCTCTTATAAGATATTAGGAAAAGGAATTAGACGGCGTTGTTGGTGGTAGTCCGCAAAAACACGTTTCTCGGAAGTATTCTATTCTAGAATATATTCCTAATGTCTAACACTTTGCATGTGCAGATAAATGGAGTTTATTCTTGTGTCAAAAGTCACAAATTCTGAATGACTCACTTCAGGACCAAAAATAAGTTTCACTCTTTCGCCTTATCACTTACCATTCATTTATGACGTTTTCTTCTTGCTCCTCCCGCTCTTGCCGTCTATATTTACACATTGGTCTTGTTCAGTCTTCTCTCTACTCTTCTGTGATTCTCTATCCTAAAGTTATATCGTACAAACGCTTGCGACATGGACGCCTTCTCTATTGTCGCACAGTATTCGTATGGAACTAGTTCGTTGTTTCCTCCTTTTTCTTGTTTTTTCCTTCCAAAATTCCAAAGTGTATTCTTTTTGATCCAACCCGGTCTCAGTCACACTTTGATGTCATTTATACGACATGCCATTTGACTTCGTTTTAAATGCAACGATCTAAAATGAAAAAAACGTCCTTTTACAAGGTACTGCGCAGTCAACAATGTTTAATTTTTGAATTTGTGAGTGCATGATGTTGCATTTAGAGAAAAATTTCGAAGATCATACCAATTTGTTTGTGGAACGTTCTATAGTATAAATTCTGTTCGGTCAATAGTTTGTTTTTGACTGTCTGTTCACCCAAAACACTTTTTAATTTCTTCAAAAAGGTATTTAAATATTCCTCATGGTATCTTACACAAAACCGTTTGAGCATAAATATCAATCGACATAAATATGCGGAGGTTATATTTGTACTACTGTGGTATTCTAAATTCGTCCACTATATTTTAGTGTGTCTGTCGCTTTCGAAAAAATCCCTCAAACAAACGCCTTCCTCATAAATACGCCTATTTCGCGCATTTCGCACGTTTCTATTTCTCTTACACGCTTGCGCTTATCATATGCTTCTCTGGCAGGTTCAGCCAATATGTATGGATGGCATCGTGACTCATTTCATTTCATGTCTTATTGCAAACACTAAAATTCTTCTTCTTCCCAGTCTTCTCTTTTTTTCATTAAATATTCCCTTTCTCTTTTCTTTTTGAAATTAGTTTCCCGTCGAATGCCTGTCTGTTTCTATGGTCAAAATACGACTCCAGAGGAGGCTATATTCCTTTGTGTATGTTTGGCAATAGTAACAAAGTTCTCGTTTCCCGCGCGCTCAGTGTTTCCCTTCCGTCGCCCAGAGAAGCTTAGAGGCCACTCTTGAACAAGAGGAGCACACGCCGCCTCTCGCTAACTCCTCGCAGTTTTGGAAGTTGCATGAGCCTCCTCTTCTTTCCTTTCCCAGCACGCTTCTCTCATTTTTCCATTTCATCGAACTGACTGACAGGGACGGACGGACGGGTGGCAAAATGTTCTCCATCTTTCTTTCGCGCACATTTTTTCCCCGTTGAATTCAATTCAATTAGGTTAGGCGGTTGAGTTTGCTCCTTTACTCTTTTCTCTCATGTGTTTGTGATTTTACTAGTGTCATGTTACTACTGGCATTTGCTGGTGAACTCAGTGGTCCTAGATTAGAAAACTTCCGTTCAACGTTTTTTATAAACTATGTTTTTCATCAATCCAGAAAAGCAGATATTCGCGACATTGTTTTTGAAATGTATTCATGAATAGGTTAAGAAAAATCTTAGTTACAACTACGGTGCTTTCGAGACATATTGAGCCCAAAAGAGGCGAAAAATAGTTGATAAGCGTGTCGAATTGCCTCATTAGTATAATATCAGTTTTCCGAGAAGAACAAGAGCGACAAGAGCTTATAAGGTATACGTTTTGAGCTGACGATGTTATTTGACGTTTGTAGTAAAGCTTCATAATTGTTAGTATTGAGACGACACCTACTGTGGAACAATACCATAATAACTCACAATACACTGTGCTTTTTTTCTTGATACCTTTAAAAATGGTTTCTTGTCAATTCATCTTCCTAATGTTCACTCTTGTCATATATATGAATCGTACATAACTGTTAATTTTCATTTTCAGATAACCATGGGGATAGGCATCGAGGAAAAGAAACCCCTTTTGATACAACTCAACGGGCAGTACTATGACATCGCCGATTTTGCCTCGAAACATCCCGGTGGAGCAAAGGTTCGTTCTTATGACTCCTGAACAAAAAGAGGAAATTATTTCTGATGATTATTTCTGATTTCTATAGGTTCTACATCGTTTGGCCGGTGAGGAAGTCGGAGAGTTTATTCGAGGAGAAAAACGGATAATGGGAGTAAGGCATGAACATTCTGAAGCCGCTTACAATATGCTTGAAAGATATAATGTGAACGCAATCCAAAAGGTGAGAGAAGTTCTTGTAAGGCAGAAATTCAGAACTCTGATTTTCAGGGTGATCCTTTGATAGAATCAAAAACAGGAATGCTTTTTAATGTTGGATCACTTGGTAGTGAATATTGGCACTGGATTCATCAACCATATGATGGAACACTGAGGTGCGGATTGTGCGATATCCCTTCAGTCATACTTGTAACGGGCCGGGCTTTTTCCGGAATTTCGGAGGCCCGGCCCGGCGGGCCCGTCATTTCACTAGTTTCGAAATTTTCAAAAAATACATAAGGGGGGACCCTTATGTGATTTTTTTCGACCAAAAAAAATTTTTTTCCAGTTTTTCGATCTTTTTTGATCAGACAAACAAACAATCCGAAATACGAAAAAAAAATGGAAAAAATTATATTGAGAGCTCAAAATTTGGCTCAAAAATACAGAATTTTTGACACCGGGCCTTCCGGGCCGGGCCCGGGCCTTGAAAATTTCCTCAGGGCCGGCCCGGAATTTTACAAGTATGCCTTCAGTTGTTGCGGATTCTGAGCTAGCATCCTCATAGTCACCAGTTTTTTTTCAGGTTGTTTGACTCGGATCTTCTGGAAAGTATGACGCGAACAGCTTGGTGGGTAGTTCCAGCGGTTTGGATGCCCATTGTCATACTTTTCTCAATAATTTCTATCGCATCTTTCTCGGCAGCTACAGGTATTTTTGTTGTTTTCCTGGTGTTTAAGCAAAGTGAATCTTTAGATGTCTATAACTCCATACTTCTGTGGTCCGCGTGGTTCGTAATCGGAGTCTTGACTTGGACTTTCACTGAATACAGCCTCCATCGTTGGGTTTTCCACTGGAAGCCATCACCTCATTCACCAAATCAAATCCTACTCCATTTTCTTGCTCATGGACTTCATCACAAAACACCAATGGACGGAGATCGTCTCGTGTTTCCACCAGTGCCAGCAGCTTTGATCGTCGGAATTTTCTACGTTATCTATTCAAACACATTCCAATGGTATAGAAGAACCATATTCAATATTTAATATAGTTATTTTAGGTCTGTGTTTTGCGCGTTCGGAGCCGGAAAGTTGTTTGGATACGTTACATACGATATGGTTCACTACTATTTGCATCACGGAAGCCCACGCCCTCGCAGTAATCTACATTATAGAAAAGTGTATCACCATAACCATCACTTCAAAAACTTTGACGTTGGTGAGTACTGATTCAATTCTCGGTTTTTTAATGGTATCGGAAGAGCTCAGATTCCGATATAGTGATTAATGACAAAGGCTCTAATGTTAGTTTCTGTTTTTAACCTGCAGTGTCGCGAAATGCGCAGAAAGTGTCTGCAAGTTTGCGGCGCGCAACAATCGGGGGAAAAGTGTGCCGCAACCTTGCAGAATCAACTCCGCCCTCTGTTGCGACTAAAATTACTTCCTAATTTCGTTATTCAGGTTTCGGAATATCAACGTCGCTATGGGATTATGTATTCCACACAATCGGAATGGGTCCCTTATGATAATTATCTGCAGAATGTTTTGAAAATTTTAGTTGAGTATCGTCTACAGTTGTTTATTTTATCTGAAAACCTACTTTGGTTCACATTTCACACTCCTCTCGTCCAAGAACTCGCTGTACATAATTATTTATCGATTTTTCATTTTAGTTTCGAGAACCTTCTCTGTTGTTATTCAACTCGTGCCTAATATCCTCACCATTCACCGGTTTCCAAATATTTTGTGATTTTCTTGTTTTGTTAGTTTGATCCTGTTATGATTCATTCTTATATTTCATTACCGCTAATGAACAGTAGTATAAGTTATGATTTTTTTTCTCTAGATATTTTCGTTACCGTTCGTTCCGTATATTTCGCGTTTTCTACACTTTCTAATGAAAGTAAGTAATTTTATAACAGTCTACCTCGATCGGACAATGTTCCTGAGATACTACTTGGACGAGAATCAGCAAAGAGTCTACACTTTGAAGGTGAGTACACAAAGTCGAGATTTTCGGATAGAAGTCCACGAGTTTTCAGAGAACTGCTCCATCTGGTCTCCAAACGCTGACTGCTCACCCAGCTCGTTTCTCTCCAGAGGACAAGAATTCCAAGTACCGTGTCATCATCAAGAAACGCTTTGGACTTCTCCCAACTCAGAAGGCTAAGACAGCTTGTTAAAATGATTGTGTGGGAATGGCGTCGTATGCTGCGCCAAAAACTCCGTTCTTTTACCCCTAACAAGCCTATCAACTATCAACAGGTCGGAATTCTTTACACAGTTCGGTACTACGTTTTGTTTTTCAGATCTCTCGTCGCCGTATCATCGTTTCATTCGTTCTTTTCTTCGTTGGCTGGAAAGCTTTTGGCTATACTCTCAACGACATGTTCCTTTGGACTGTCGATGAGCAAACTATGCAAGGCCGTTTCTTAACACCCCAAGAAGGAAAAGAACGAAGGTAAAACTTTCAGCACATTTTGATACACCTTAAAATATTGTTTTTAGAGAGGCGTTGGAACGACAGCGAGATCCCAAGTTACGAATTATTACACCCCCTATTGTTTCGAAATACGATCTTGATGACTAGCTTCTTTTTTCATTCTGGTTTACATTTTTCCTTCTCTCTGGAGATGATATTTTTGTTGTTTTTTTTGTTACTGTTGTACTTGAATAAAATTTGAAAATCGAAGATTACAATATTAGAAAACTGAAGTTGAGTCATCAAAAAATACTTCGAATGGAGAACTCAAGCTTCAATCTTCACTTTTTCAGGGTGAATGCGTTTTACTGACTACTCTTTCGAGTTCAACCAAGAACCAATTCATTTTTCCGTAACTTCTCATTCAGACAAAGACCTAGTGGTATTTCGCGTTTTTAATTGAAGTAATTGCATTTTGTCATATACAGAGCTTCAATTGGACTGGTCGTATTGGACAAGTGATCGAAGTTATTCAACCACCTGAGTTACTTTCTAGCCAGCTGTCGGAGCGCCAACGCGTTGAGTACGAACTGAAAAATTTATTGGGGAATTCAGAACTGGTAAATAAAAAGTTATGAGATTGGTGAAATGTAGAATTTCAGCCAGGAGTGGAACTCTTCATCCGACGCTTCGTGATTCATTTTGCGGAAAAGAAACAAAGGAGAAGCCTACTTTTCGTATTTGGTTAGGAACGATTAGTATACTTGATTAAGTAATATCTATTCCAGGAATCGGCCTAGATGGGATTACGAACGAATGTATTGCGGCCGCTCTGCGAGCCCTCGAAAGCAGTGCTTAAGTATGGTTACTGCTTAATAAATCATGGTTACACGCTTTTTCCTTCAGAATTTCGTCATACTCCTACAGTATTACCAATCCTCCTGATAAACCCAAAAAGAAAGAAACAAACGTTTTTCTTCCATCATCTTCATTCATCAACCACATAAAATCTACTGAGCGTTCGCTTAGTGATCAAAACGCAGCAAGGGACGGTGGGCTCAACGATTTGTACGTGTGGCAGTCAGAGAATCGCAAGGGGGCAGAAGTCTTTGAGCTTTTAGATGGACCTCCGTATGCAAACGGAGAGGCTCACACCGGGCATGCTATCAACAAGATTTTGAAAGACTTCGTTGTGAAAAGCAGGATTGGGTTGGGATACAGGTATCATATATAATTGAATCATTTTTCGATACTTTCAATCATTCAAGAGTTCGCTTCCGTCCTGGCTGGGACTGTCATGGCCTACCTATTGAACTCAAAATAGGAAAACAACAAGGAACCACTAAGCAGCGGTCACCACTGGAGATTCGGAACGCTGCCAGAGTTATTGCCGATGAAGCCATCGGAAAACAAATGAATGCGTTTCGCCGTTGGGGTGTGACTGCAGACTGGAAACATCCTTACGTGACGAAAAGTCCTGAATTTGTGGCTGCTCAGTTAGACGTGTTTGCCCGACTTGTTGAACAAAAACTAGTATATAGATCATTCAAACCGGTTTATTGGTAGGACAAAGTGATTTTTTGAGATAAAAACTGTAGTTACAGGTCACCAAGTTCGAATACGGCTCTTGCCGAATCAGAGTTAGAATACAATGAGAAACATCAAAGTACAAGTGTATATTTTCGCTTCAAGATGATAAATTTCTCTTCGTCTGATGTTACCTGGACTTCTGATTCCTCTTCAAAACTTTCTCAATTCTATGCTCTAGTTTGGACAACTACACCATGGACACTTCCTCTGAACAACGCTATTTGCATCTCCCCCACTGTTAAATACGCAATCATCCAATTTGAAAACGATGTCAAGTGAGTACTATTAAAGTTAAAAACAACGGAAATGTCTGGTTTTCAGCAATCCGACGTCATCCTATTACATCATTGCATCTAATCTCGTGAAAGAGTTCGAAACATCTACTGAGAAAAAGTGTAGAGTTGTGGGAACGGTTGATTCTGAAAATTTGATTGGTAAACGCTACCGTAGTTGTTGGTGAGTTCATTGTGATCGAAACTTCGACGATATTAAAAACAGGCACAACGAATTGGCTCTTCCAATTTACGAAGCTACTCATGTCTCCGATACCGCAGGAACAGGCTTGGTACACACTGCGTTTGCTCATGGACTGCAGGATTACGATGTATTATATGATCGTGTAGAATGTTGAGTAATCTTGTTATTACAGGTTGCTCTAACGAAAAAAGAACGCGTCCAAAGTTTCGTAGATTCTCGTGGTTGCTATACTAGACATTTTGGACATAGCCTCGACGGAAAATCGGTTTTAGGAGATGGTCAAAATGAAGCACTTCGATTACTCAATCATGACATTGTTCATACTTCGCAATACGTTCATTCTTATCCGTATGACTGGAGAACTAAAAAACCGGTCATTATTCGAAGCAGTGAACAATGGTTTATTGACGTGGATGAAATTGGACAGCGGGCTGCTGCTATGTTGGACGATATCTTGGTTACTGCTGGAGACTCTGATCTTCGGGGATCTCTCAAGCAACTAGTGAAAACTCGCAAAAGTTGGTGCATTTCACGACAGAGAGCCTGGGGAACTCCAATTCCCGGCTTGGTTGACGAGAAAGGCAATTCGTATACGTCTCGAAAGCTTATTGAATGGATTGCTCAATTGATTAGAGAACGAGGGAGTACGGATGTCTGGTGGGAGATCGATACACAATATATTCTTGACAATGAAGATGTGAGAGAATCATTGAACATTCCAACAGACGTTCTTTCTAAATTAACAAAGAATATGGATATTATGGATGTCTGGCTCGATTCTGGATTAGCTTGGTATGCAGCCAAATTGGATGACGACGAGAGAAATCACATCGCTGACATAGTTCTAGAAGGCGTGGACCAATTCCGAGGATGGTTTCAATCACTTCTTCTCACTTCGATCGCTGCACAAAACAAGCTTCCTTACAAACGAATTATGGTTCATGGTTTTTGTATTGATGAGAAAAACAACAAAATGTCGAAATCTATCGGAAACGTTGTTGATCCAACCATGGTAATTTTTCCGAGGTTGAAAAATATTTGTGATAATTTTTCAGCTCACCGACGGATCCTTGAAACAAAAAGCGATCGGCGCCGATGGACTCCGTTTTTGGGTCGCTCAGTCAGGATCAGAAAACGCTGGAGAATCGAAAATCGGACCAATAATAATTGAAGACGTCGACAAGAAAATCATTGCGCTGCGAAACGGATTTCGTTTCATGATCGGTGGTTGTCAAGGATTCCATGGAAATCAAATAGAGTCTTCGTTGAAGTCTCTAGATCTTGATATGCTTCAAAATTGCGACAATTTTGTGAAAACATCAATTGGGAACTATGAAGAATTCAAATTCAGAACTGTTGCGAATGACCTAACACAATTCATGCAAAGAAACTTCAGTGCAAACTATGTGGTGAGCGTAAAATGATTCTACTAAATTTTCTAAATTATAACATTCAGAAGTACGTACGGGATAGACTATATTGTGACAGAATAGGAAGTGAATCACATCTATCAGCTCAGTTTACTCTCCATCGGTTTTTATATTCTGCCTTTCGAAAATTTGAATTTTTGATTGCTTCAGCTTGGCACACAACTTGGCTCATACGATTTCACCGCTCCTGCCACATCTGTCCGCAGAAGTTCTTCACCACCTGCCTGGATTTCACGAGAAACTGATTCTCCGTCAAAAGCTTAGTGATCTTCATTCGGGAATTTTGAATGACGACCCAAATTGTCCCAAGTTAATGGGGTTGATTTCGGAAATTCGTTCGAAATTGGAAGCATCCGCGGGACCAAAAGTTGACACTTCAAAAAAGGTGAAATAGTATATAAAAGTTGTATTTATTGTTTTGCTTCAGGGCATTGTGATTCGAGTCTCTGCAGAACAGGACAATTTTCTGAAAAACTACATTCCCGAACTTCCTGAACTGCTCAATGTTTCTGAAGTTCAATTAGAAGTTGATAAAGAATCTTTGTCTGTGCAGCTTGTGGATAGTTCACTTCGATATTGTGAAAGATGTCGGAAGTACAATCGCCACCCAGATGACAAAATGTGTGGTAGATGTTCTGCTGCAATGTCGATTTAGAAGCAATACTTAGTCTAGTTTTTGTATGTTTATGAGTTTAGTTCAAGTTGTTTCTCATTGTTTTCACACAGTTTTTTGTTTGTTCTTATAAATAAATTAATTATTTTAACATTACACCTGTAACTTCTAGAGGCTACCACTTCTGAATTTCCTATTGTGAATTATTGGTGAATAACCGACTCTATTTTGACTGCTCAAGCAGTTGCAGATCGACTAACTTCCGGCGTTTTTCAAAAGAACTCAAAAATTTCATGGGCATATTAGCAACAACAGTATTCTTCGATCATTTTAGAGTACCCCGCGCGGGTTTTTTCTGATGTTTTCTATAGAGCGCGATTTCGTCATTCATTCCAGTTGCGCTCGAGGTTCAAAACGCACTGAAGCGCTTCTCTGTGACTCTTTTCCAAATTGGTATTTTTGTCAGGCTAATCGCGTTATATTCCTGAGATATTTTCCTTGTTAAATGACTAAACCACTTCTAAAACCGATGTATCCGACACTCATCAGTAATATGATCGCAAAAAGGAACGATGAAGCAGTTAACGAATTCGAAAGTAAGTTAAATGTGTTCGATTGAGTTTCAAAATTCAACTTTCTCAACAGGATCTTTCAACTGTCGAGTACTGGAAATATTCGCGGATAATCGACGTTTGAATGTGGAAGAGCTCAAACATGATTCGGAAGAGTTTGTAAAATCACTCAAAACTGAATTCATTTGGGGAGAAACTGGAAAAACAAAATATGTTCCAATAACAAGATTATTAGTATGTTTATCAATTTTGCGATAAAAATAACTAAGTTTTGTTGTCAGAAACTGCTGAAAAATTCTCCACAATCGATCCAAGATCTTCTACCTCACAAAACGGTTACTACTTTAGTGAAAATCACGAATTTCAATTTAGCAATCGATATTACCCTCATAGGTATGTAGCCTTACTAGAATAGCCAAATCTCATGACAATCTTTCCAGAGGAGCTTGTAAAGACGGTGATCCATGCCGAAGAGACTTATGTCAAACTACTTCCCTATGCGGAGAACGGAACCGAAATTTCAAGCTATGTCGGTATTCGAATAAATGAACAATCTTTAACAATGTGTTTCAGGGTCTACAAGACTTTGTCTCGGCGCATTATGTTCCTCAAATGATAGAAGAGCCAGAACGCGCGGATTACTACTCCGCCTACGCTGTTGGAATCATTTTCTTCCTTCTGGATTCACGACGCCGTGAAAATGTTTATCTGAAGGATCTACTATCATCGACACTTCTTATGCACCTCGAATTGTGTATTCATGCCGAAAACAACTGTTTAGAAACACCCGATATTGATGTGTACGTTCCTAAAAACCTTGAAGCCTCTAATAGAAGGGCCTCTTAATAATCAACTTTGACGATATTAATGTATGTATAAGAAGTACGTAAAAGTGTTTAATCAACAAACGTTTTCGACTTGCCTTACAAGAAATGAATCGACTCAAAGTTGAAGATTTGAACACTTCTATTAGAGACTTTCTGGTATGTGATGAAGGGAAATTAAAAGCTTCAGGTTCACTGTGGCGCAATTCAGAAACACTCTCTACGAGTTTCGATGCCTTGATACTGATCGAAATGGAGTTTTGTCTCCTACAGAAATGACATTTTTCAGAGAGTAGGATTTGTTTTCATTTCTTTCAACCATTTTTGCTCATTCAGAGGACTATTCAATGCTGTGTTCATACAACGAGTCTTCGAAATTTCAATGGTTTATGAAAGTGGATGCTTGGACTTCAAGGCATTCGTTGATTTGGTCGCAGCCATAAGATTCCGTCATGTAAGTTCTACGAAAGTTCCTGAAATAATAATGTTGAAATTTCACAGACCATGGCATCTGCGAAGTATCATTTCGAGGCATTCGACTTCAAAGGCGATGGTATTCTGGATGAAGATGAAATAAGAACAGCGGTGAGTAAACCGAAAAAAAACAGATCCTTGAACCCCGATAGGCTTGCTTTCAGGCACAGGCTCTTCCTGAATACGCTCCCAGTGATGATAACGTTAACATCGACATTGTCACTGGTGAACTGAAGGACATGCTCCGATTGAACAAGAATGGTGTTTCTTCTAAGGAATTCGTCAACAATCGGATGAACTCTACTTTCACTGGATTTCTGTCTAACTACTCTGACTTTTTGAAATACGAACGAAGAGAACAGTAAAAAACTATCATGATTCATTTAAGACGCTTTCTCTGTAGAACTCAACTTCAGGCCTATTATCCACTGTACAGAAAAATTCAAACTTGTTTTTTTCTGGTTAATTTTTATATATTGCATGTTTATGGACTTCTAAGATATATGAGATATAGTTTGTCCCGACTTGTCCCACACCTGCAAAAATATGGTCGTGGGGTGTCTAAACATTTTTTTTTTCAAAAGTGAAATAATGATTAAGTTTTATTGTAGAACGTTTTTAGGTACTATTTTGAATATTTTTTGGATTGGAACAATTAATATTCTTCCATCTTTCCTGGAAAAATTTCGATTTTTTGCAAAAAAAAGGTATTTTTTGGACCAAAAAATGACCGTCCTGAAAAAAATTCCATTATTGTATAAAATTGAACATGAAATTTAGATTCTACAATAAAAATACATTAGAAACTGTTTTGAGATATTCGACCAAAATCGACCCTCTCCGATTTTGTTCAATTTCCACCAGATGTAGTATTTTGGATGGGTAGTATTCTGGCAAA